AATAATTCTACAAAATTTTGTTTTATGAAACAAAATGTTTTAGTCTATAATATTTTTATATTATAAGTAATACTTTTTTGTGCCCTACTTACTCTGTGGTCAATAGGAGTGGCCGTTGAAAGTGCAATAAATTAACAGAATGATTTTTTTGACATGTTATGGCTGCTATTATTAGTTTGATTACCTCTTGAGGCTACGCTGCAGTTGAATTGACATCTCTGTGTTGTCTATGCTTCCTTTTTTTAACCAATATCAAGAATCCTAGTAAGCATCTTGAAAAATTTACAAGAAGGATGAATTAAAGGGATATTTGAAAGCGTCTTTACTGTGATTTCACCAATATCTTTATAGGTTCAATGTTTTGATTACACTTTTTATTCATATAGTTCACCACAATAAAATTAATATCTATTAAAAAACTTATATTTTTTACAATTTTTTTTCAATAATAAAAAAATAGATTATGCATTTATCAAAGATAATTGTGGTATTCTTTATAAAATTCCAAACATTTTCATACATATTTTTCTCTTCCGTATTTACTTTTAGCGCCATACTGCCGGTCGAATTCTTTAATACAGCAGTAACAGTTAAAAATAAATTTTAAAAAATATGTCTGCATAAACAAAAATGCAATTTTTTTGTTTTTTTTTCATTGTATGAGATTTTTTAATTATAATAAAATATGAATTTTATTGTTTTTTACACATTCTATTATTTTTTGTATATTGAAAACGACTTAGGGGTTTTTAAGTGGTAATTGTAAGTTTTTTTTATTATTTTAGCAAAATTCATGTTGAATGCTCTTTAATGATATGAAAAGATTGGTTATGATCCAATATGAAGGTTACATATACATTATACAACCCTACACAAATATCTTAAATAGAGAACCATCATATATATTTTGTGTTTGTTAGGTTTTTTTTGTTATGTGTATACTTTAAAAAAGTGATATTAATTTGATTTTTGATTGTCAGTTCAAAAAATGGAACTTTGTTTTGCATTTTAAATATAATACTTTATTTGTTTTTTCACAATCACGTTGAAAATTTCGATTAGATATACTTGAAATCTTATATAATGTGTGCAACTTACATTTTATTGATTCTTATAGATTGACAATCAATTTATTTTAGGTTTTTGAAAGGTACCTTAAATGTACTGTAAAAGTATTTTTAATGAATAATAGTAAAAAATGTTCGCTGTATTAAAAAACAGAATTTGTCTATGAATAGACAAACGTTATATATAAATTTTTCTTACAAAAAACATAATTTTTTTCAATTTTAGTTAACATCAATTATCAAACAGCCATAAAAAAGTATTTTGTATAGTTATAATTTTACAAAAACAAGATAATTTGTATTTAATCAATTTTTTGTTCATTACATTGTTCTATTATACCCGAAAGCACTTTTTGATTGTAAAAAACACATTTTTTTTGCATTTATATCATTTAAAATTGAAATATAGTTTTTTTTACTTTTACAGCATGATTTTTATCCTTTTAAGGAAAATATGTATTTTCAGTCGCATGCTATATTCAATATAATCCATAAATTGTTCAAAATCGAACTTAAAATCCCAAATTATTATGTAATTTCGTTGTTATTCATTAAATTAATATATGAAATTTATTACGCGAAGTATACAAAAGTTGTAGTAGATCTCAAAACTATAAAATATAAGAGTACTTTAGAGTAGATTGTTGTTTCCTCTTTACATATTGCATATATCTATAAATTTCTTACGTTTTATAAAAAAATGTATAACGAAGAAGAATTGAAATGTGAACTGAAAATGAAAGAGGATGTTGTCGACTATAGAGGTAGTAGTGAATCCGATTAAATACCGAAAGATTATTTTATGAATTATAAATCCTCTAATCTTTTTCATAACACTAATAAAAACACTACATAATTTAACCTCTTGCGACTACAGCAAGGGTTATATGCGAAATAAATCGTATTTTTATTAAAAACTATTAACCATTCTTTTGAACGAACATTAAAACATTTATTCGATTTTTTGAAATATTGATTCGACAAATATTACACACATTAGATTCAGTATTATATTCTTAATATTTTACTGGATTTCATAATTTTTATTTTTTTCCTTTAATTTTTATGTTGAACAATCATTTCAATGCTTGGCAATAGTATGCCGAAATAAAAGATGTAATAAAGTGAAAAACTTAATTTCTTATATATAACAAATAGAATTTTTAAAAATATAGTCTCTATCGATTAAATTTAATAGCTATTATATTATATAATTAGAAACACAAAATAAGTATCTGCGTTTATTTTGTTTTATATTCCAGTAAACAAAGCAAAAAATGTATTCTTGCAAAAGAGCAATAAAACTTTTTCATCCTATCCTATAAAAAAATCTTCATAAAACCATCTTTTTTTATGATATACTGTCTAAAAAAATAGAACTTTGTGTTTGGTACGTATATTCACTTTTTTCTCTTTTATATTTTTCTTGAAAAATTATTCTCTATTATCCTTCTTAGTCATGTTTTTACTTCCTAAATATTTGATTTTTGAATATTTTAAGTCATAATGCATCTTAAGATTTGTTTTTTCAATTATATTGTGTATTTTTAATGCACATTTTTTTTTCTAGCAACTCAAATTATCCATTTGGGCTATACTAAATAATTATGTATTACTTATCTATTAAGATAAGTAATACATAAAAATATAAAAACATTTGTTAAGTTTTAATTAGGCAATAGATTTCTACTGATCAAAGCAGGATAAAACATGTAGATAAGTCTAGTACAAATGAAAGCAAAATTCAAATAGAACATGTAAAAAGATATTCAATAGTATTGTACATACAACGACTAAAACATATTATACATGATAAATATAATTTTTAATAACCAACAAACAAATTTATTACAATATTTACAATCATGTAATATTTTTACCGACCAGAATTATTGAATACCCTAAAATCAGTAGCTTAAGCAGTGAAAAAATGCACTTTTTATATTATCTTATGGCATGGAATACTTTTTACGCTTACTTTTAGACCTTTACCAGCAAGCTATTCGAATCTAAAACATTTAAAATCTTTTTTTAGCATTTTTTTCTCCTGAGTTTTATTGAAGTTCTCATTTTACAAATAACAATTATATTAAATATTTCTCCTTTATAAAACCAGATTGAATTAAAAAAAATTAACCTTTTCATTCCTTTCTATAAACAAATAAATCATAACCTTCATCTTTTAAATGCATACTATATAACTTAAACAATTAGAGCATATTGCTTAATACACAATGACGTGATTTAAGGTTTTTTTTATTTATATCTAACAAAATATTTCCTTATAGTAATTAGATTTTTTTATAAATTATAAACATTCATTGTATTATTTTCAATTCCTTTGATATTTTTTTTGCACCAGATTGTCAAATCAAGTGATTTAAACGTCTAAAAAATAAAAAAAACAAACTTAATAATTGTTTTCACTTAATCATCAACTGATATTAGACATGGTTTTTGAAAAAATAAAAATTCAAAATTTACTAAAAATAGAAAAAAATCCGTAATATAATGATATTTTATCTAGAGCAAGTAGAAAAAAAAATAATGAATTAAAATTGAAAAACAGGTAATTCATAATTCTTATTACCGCACCAAAATATTCTAACTTTATTCACTTTTTAATAATAGATTTATATTCTATGGTTTTATCAAAGCATGATAATATAATTTTATGTTCTTTTACAATTTCTACATATAGTTGTTGAAATATTTTTGCACACTTAGTCGGAGTTTATTATAATAAAAATATAATGCTAAAAGTTAAAAAAGTTCTCCAATAAATCTTGATATTTAAAAAAGGCAATTTTTTGTATCGTTTCTCCAGGATAAAATGTGTTATATTTAAGTTGTTAAAGATAATGCAATTTTTTTAGTTGTTAATAAGAAATTTAATTTGTATTTTGATTTTTTATATTTGATATAAAATATTAGCGATTATTTTTACGACAATAAAAAGAAATTACATATTCATCATATATATATATATATTTGCGTCAAGATACAGTAATAACTCCGTATAATATATGATTAGAAAATAAGAATGATATAAACAAATTTAAGAAAATTTTTCAACTGTTTTAAAAAATGGTTCGTTGGGATCGCAACATTTTTCTTAAGGAAAACTAGTTCCAAACAAAATAAGTTACAAAAAAACAGTAGATAAAAATATAATTACATAGTTAAACTATATTTATTTCTTTTTGGGGCGTATTGTATAAATCTATTGCGAGAATTTCGATTTTTGTTTAGTTTTAAATGAAGAATTCGAGTTATAACAAATTAATATTTTTAATTAAAAAATATTTATCGCTAAAAATTAAAAAATATAAAATATCGGCAAAAATATTTGAGTTTCTAGTAATAATATCGTTTATGCGCTAAACTGTTTTGATATATCATAAAAGATTAACTTGTTTATTGTGGTGTACTGAAATGATAAAATACAATTATTTTACTACAAAGTTACTATTATATAGAGTTTTTCGTCTTTTTATTTCTTTTTTAAACAAAATATCACATGATTATACAATCATATTTACAATTGTAATATTATTCCTATATTTATACATATTTTAAAAAAAATTGAATCGTACGAATTAGTTTAATTACTCAATCTGCTTTAGGTTTTCTAATGTTTGAAATTGATTTTTTAACTATTAAAAAAAATTTAAGCTTCATATAATCAATATATATGTATAAAAAATTTTGATGAGAAAATTTCTTTGCAATTTTTGTAATATAAAAAAATTTTTTTACTTCCAAAAGAACACGAATTGATGAACTTTAATATATTCATTACTATAACTGATTTAATTTGAGAATTTACTTTTTAAACTGAAATTTATACTATTCTTACTTGTAAAAAACTCATTAATAATTTTTAACGTATTCAAACAATTATATATATGTTAGAAATATTTAATAGTTTTGTCCGTGGTGGTACAGTGGTTAGTACGTTACGTTGTGGCCGTAAAGATCCTGGTTCGATTCCTGGTCACGGATTTTTTTGCTGTATTGTGGAATTAATCGATTTTTAGTTTTATCTATGATTGAAATATTTGAAAGTTTTGGAAAATGCTAAAACGCAACAAAATTATAAAAAAACAATTAAAATACGTCAGAAAATTAATAATAAACAATATTTATTCAGGGCTAATTAAAAAAAATCTAAATGTAAAAAATTTTCATTTGTAATTAACAATTTCTTATGCTCTTAAAGTAACAAATAATATTTATTATGTTGTATTTGATTGTAAAAGGCTAATAAATATTTATGGTGAATAAATAATGTGAGGCGTTAAATAAACCTCTTGATTACTAAGAATACGTGTATATATGTTGAAATGAATTGATTAAAAAATTTTTTGTTTTATTTTGTTAATGAACTTATCAGAAACAAATGAATTGTATTATTTTAGTTTTAATGAATTTTTTTGATTTCATATTTTGGTTAAGAATCATCTTAAAAAGTTTTCAAATATAATTTTTTGCAACTTGGCTGAATTTTTTAGGTTTAAATTTGCTTTTTTTCAATCAAATGAATAATATCATGGTGAAATAAAATTTCGACAACAATTTATTTAGTAAAATAAATATAAACTGCAACAGAAAAAACCTTTGTAATAATCTATTTTATATGAATTAAAAGTAAAGACTGCAATACTAAGCAACATTTAACTGGTTATGTGATAATTCAGCCACATTAATTTTTTTATGCAAAGAAAATCTATTTAATTTTTTGCGAAAAACATTTATTGATAATAAAAAAATAGCATCAAAAAACATTAAAAAAAAAGAAATGTAAAACAAATAGTTTCAAAAGCACACGAGCAACACAAAATATTAAAAATATCGACGTTAAATTCTTTTACTTTTAACAATAAAAGTAATTATTCAAGTTCATTAATAAATCAGGTGGGACTTATCATCATTGGGAAGAATTTTATTTTTTATAGTTGTTGGCAAATTTCTTAAAAAAAAGTGAAATTTAGAAAAATTTATGGCTAATTTGTTATAATGAAAAGCCAAAGGAATTATATAAAGTATATTTATAATCATTTTGAAATTATGTTTGCGTATGAGCTTGAAAAAACGCTATTCTTTAAATGTTATATAAGAGAATTTCATCTGTCCTATTATTATTGCATCAAATAAATATTTTCTCAAATTTATTTTACTTCTAAAAGTAAATGATGTATGATGTAAATTTTTTTTGTTAAAAAATCAATTTTTGATAGTTTTAGAATAATTTTTCAAATTGTGTTCTTTATTAGTGTCAAATCAATTTTATTTGAAAAGGAAAAAAAATTTTAAAAAATCATCAAATTAGATTAAAAAGTTATAACGTAGCGAATTAATTAATTAATAATTTTATTTTTGTGAAACTACTTATTTAATATCAATAAAGATGTTTTTAAGCAATCAATTATGTTTTTAAAGATGATTACAGTATTTAATTAATGAAATTGTATTAATTAAGAACTAAACTTTGATATTAATCGAATGAATTATTATTTTTATTAATAGATTGATATTAAAGCATATATGCCTTTAAAGAATGTAAATAAAAAAAAAGAAATCATCAAACAAGCCTTTTCCAATAAACTGTATTATAGTTATTTGAATTGACTTAAAATCTATAGAATTGTGTCAAATAAGATCAAATAAAATAAAGTAAGAATAATATCAATTTATAAACTGTTACCAAAAAAAATATATTCAAATAACTTTATCCACAATATGTTGGCATATAAAAATGTGTAGTTAACATTTTTTATGCTAGTTTTATTCAAAATATATCTGCAAAGGTATAGATAAAACACACTTTTCTTTATTTTTTACGCTATTCTGCAATAATATCTACCTTGAACATTTAAAGTTATGGATTTGATTGTCCAGCATATTGTTCCAGACCTAGATATGATAATTTAAGCTAAATAACTGATTGTCTCGGACATTTTCACTAATATTCTTTGCTTAGAGATAACCTTTTACCTTTTAAGAAGTTGTATTGTGTTAGAACATGAATATTTATTAGTAATAACTATGTTCTTATAATATCTAAATATACTAAACAAAAAAAATATTATTTTGTAGAAAAAACATATAAGTGATAATCTAACATAGAAAAAAACAAATTTTTGTTGAATATGAAGGTACAAAAAAGCCACAAATCTTTTAATATCATTTTAGAATTATATTTAATATATTTCATTATTTTAAAAAAGCATGATCCATTAATTCCTAACTATAAAACCTATTTTCAACAAAATTATAGTTTACAAAATTTTGTAAAATTATAATTTTGATTTTATAGTAGAAGTTTCAATCATGATCACTTTTTATGTTGATTTGAATAAAATTGACATGTAAAATTTTTAATTATTAGAAGCGTAATTTAAGTTGGTCTTAAAAAATTGATTTTGTTGGTTATTAGACAAGGTAGATTTTGATGATTGATTTTATTAATATTAAGATTCTTTTAAGCCACTCTTGCCCTATAGTCAATCTAATTATAGCAATAATAAATATTTTTATCAATTATATTATTATTTTCTTAACCAATACACATTCAATAATTAAATACCGTAATAATTATTAAAAAAATATATTGCGAAATACATATAAATTTTTTATCAACATCATATTATTAAATATTTTATTTATTCTGTTATCAAATTTCAATCTTATTT